ATGAGTTTTAAAATATCGGCGTATCGGATATCGGCCAAAATCCTAATATCGTGCATCCCTATTTATTATTATTACCATCTGAATCAGTTGAGAGGGAGATGTGGAAATGAAAAGGTCTTACTGTTTATAAACATAATTAGAAACTATCGCTCCAAAATCCCATTGAAGTTCAGTCAGATGGTTTCTTCTACATTATCTACGTTCCAAACTGACCAGTAGATGGCAGTAAAGGATGAAGAGTTGTTCTTTAAGGAGAAAAATAAGATTTGTGTTTTGTGTTACGTAAATATAATTATTTCATGGTATATTTTGGTCCTCCATATACCTCAGAGATCACATCACAATGTATAGTAATGTAATATTGTAGCATCTCTTGACCCCCAAGGGGGGACCGACCCCCAATTTGGGAACCCCTGCCTTGTTTGTCTTCAGTCCAGCTAATAGAACTCGATTAAAGCCGTAAACATTACTTTACTCCTGTTTGGACAACATATGCTTGAAGAAACTGTCAGCTTGACTCCTTATTATTGCCTCTATAGTCAACAGTTCAGTTTCATGCGCTGCATTTAGTCTTGTCATCCTTGTATAAATTAGCTCCACAATTAAGGATCCAACCAATTAGAAAGTTAAACACAGTGCTCTTAGAGATGCTGAGGTTTAATCTCAGGATTTTTCTTGTCGACAGCTGGGAAGCTTTCAGGAGTCCCCGTCTTCACTGCAGTCTCACATCCCCTCTGCTGCATGGGGGCTGCACCTGTTCCTCCGGAGGAGGGATAACCTCCACGTTGTAGCTCACCTTCTTGGACTGGAGGATGCTGTAGCTGTTGTCGAAACACAACACATCTGCAAAGGACAAGGGAAGCAGTCAGCAGCGGCTAGTAGACATTCTGGAAATTTGCTGGAATCTCAGAGGAAATAGACTAACTTCACATTAATAAAATCTAGTCCTTATCTTATTACGTGTTATTCTTTTATTTTTTTCCATTCCACACAATTAATTCGGCTTGGTTACTTACCAAAGTTGTGTACATCTATATCTGCATTAACATGTATTTAGTTTGTGCTTTTTTTTTCCCCCAACCTTTTTTGTTATTCATTTTTTGGCCAAATTGTAATTTATCTTATACACTTAGTGCTGTTTGGGGTGGAGGGTGTGAAAGTATGTATTGTATCAGGGATGTAAACAAATAATCAACTTACAATTAGTTGCTGATTATTTGTTTAGAATTGTTTTCATTATTGTAGTATTTGAATTCGTCCACTAGAGGGCGCTGTTGTTCATTCTAAAGCAAAGCCTGATATTTACAAGAGATCTAATGCCAGAGAGGAAACAGGAATCAATCCACAACCCAGTTCTGTAATATTTACATATTTTAATTGTGACAAGGATGCAGAATTCAATTTCAGTTCAATTCAGTTTATTTCTATAGCGCCAATTCACAACATGTCATCTGAAGGCACCTTACAGTTCAACAGATCATCCAGTCAGATCGATTCAAAGGTTTCTATCTAAGGAAAACCAGATGATTGCATTGACTCATTGACTCTTCAGCAATTCCTCACACACGTGTGTTCACAGAACAATATATCACTACATAACATATTTGCCGCCCCTACTGGGGTTGGAGTTGAATAATACAATAAATGCACAACTGAACTGAAATTGTATTTTCAGACGTTTCAGTCAGAGAGCGTCCTGCTGCGATTGATAAA